TACCAAAATCATCAAAAATATGAGTAAGTTTGGAAACTGTGATTTCTTTCCCAGAGGCTTTCTTACAGGTAAATGTTTCATTTTCAAATGGCATAAGGAAAATACATCTCTATGCCTACATGTCAATGTATTCATGCCAACTGTAATGTCATGGAGTGATAAAATCATATGCATACTCTCGGTGCATCAATGCGCTCAGTCCTCACAATCTCTCAGTCCTCACATCCACTCAGCCCTCACAGTCACTTAGTCCTCTCAATCACTCGGCACTCGGCACTCGACCCTCGGCACTCGCACTCAGTAGGTATTTGCGCTCACTGGGGGCGTGTACAGACTCCAGAGGGGCTCCTTCAGCCCAAGCGCTATAACAATCCATTCATGGCATAAATCAGTAAAACATGTTGCGGCATGCAGCCCGCTCTCATCATAAATCAATAACATATGTTGCGGCGTGCAGCCCAATCCCATAAGCTTCCTCACCATCAGGCCCTCGGCTTTACTCAATCATCAATTTCTCCAATCTCTTGGGCTCTCAGTGTCATGAAAAATCAGCCCAAAAATAATAATGTGATATATCAATAAATGGCAATAGAGACTGAGATATGATATGCATATGAATGTGTATGATATAGTATGTAAATGCAATGTAAGCAAGTAACTCGACAGCATAAATGACCTCAGTGGATCCCAACAGGATAAGCATATAGCCTAGACATGGTTTCTAACATGGGTCACTGCTCAATAGCTCTAATACGTAGAGATTTCATGGTTACAGATAAGATCAGGTAACCTCAACACCAAACACATAACACGTAATTCGGGGTTTCATACCCACAACACCAAGTTTAGAAGTCTAACTTACCTCGAACAAGCCAAACCCAATACTGAGCAAGCCAAACGATGCTTCAAAAATTCCATCACGCGTACCAACCTCCGAACGGCTCGAAACTAGCCAAAAAGTCGATAAAGGTTGAATCTTTAATGAAAAGCCCAAAATCCGCCAAAAAGTCCAACCCGGGCCCGCATCTCGGAACAGTATAAAACTTACAAAATCTGATAACTCATTCAATTACGATTCCAACCATACTAGTTTCACTCAAATCCGACTCCATATCGATGTTTAAAACTCAAAAATTCACTTTATGAAACTTTAAGCTAAAAATCCCAATTTCCTCTTTAAAATTCATCAACCAATTACCAAAAATGAAGATAGATTCACGAAATATAATCAGAATCGAGTAGAGAATACTTACCCCAATTCATTTGGTGAAAATTGCCTCAGATATTGCCCAAATCCGAGCTCCCCAACTCAAAATATGACCAAATGAACAAACCCTTGGTATTAAATACTTTTATCCAACTGTTCTACCTCATTTCGTGTGTTATACGATCCCAAAACTCGCTTTTGATGCCTCAAATAGATTCCTTGTAAAATTTCAGTTAAAATAGGCTTTTGAATCACCCAATTTGGCCTTAAAATGAGGGAGATATGATATTTTGAAGTTTTAAATGAAGTCTGCAAACTTTAAAGATATAAAAAAAAATGACGTTTTCGTAATTATTTTACACCAGAAAATCAGCAACGAAAAAAGTTTCATTTTAGCACCCAAAACTCATTCGGAATCTCCCGGACACAAACCATATATGCGTTTCAATTATAAAAAATGCTACGAACCTTCTCGCACACTCAAAACACCAAAAAGAGGTCTCTTGATCCAATATTGACCATTGCCAAACTCCAAATCCTTTAACTAGTTTCTCAACCAATGATCCAAAACACACTCAAGCGTCTCGGGACCCCATTCCATCATACCAACAAGTCTTAAAACACAATACGGACTTATTCGAAGCTTCAAATCACATCAAACAACATAAAAATGACAAATCGCACCTCAAATCAAAAATCAATGAACTTTTAACTTTTAACTTCCAAAACTCGCGCCAAAACATACCAAATCAACCCGGAATGAACCCAAATTTTGTACACAAGTCCCAAATGACATAACGAAGCTACTCCAATTCCCAGAATCACAATCCAAATCTGATATCCTCAAAGTCAACTCTCGGTCAAACTTGTGAACTTTCCAAACCTTCAAATTTCTAATTTTCGCCAATTTGTGCTGAAACCTTCTATAAACATCCAAATACAAATCCGGGCATATTCCCGAGTCCAAAATTACCATCCTGACATATTGGAACCATCAAAACTCCGTTCCGGGGTCAAATTCACAAAAAGTCAAACTTGGCCAACTCTTCCAACTTAAAGCTTCCTAGTTGAGAATCATTCTGCCAAATCAATTTCGAATAACCTGAAAACCAAAACCAACGATTCACACAAGTCATAATACATCATACGGAGCTACTCATGCCCTCAAACTACCGAGCAAAATACAAATGCTCAAAACAACCGGTCGGGTCATTACAACCTAAAATCAAGGTAGTACAGTTGTACGCGCATGTATTCGCGCTGCTGTATACATCAATACAGCAGCAAAAAATGCCTAAAATCAGGGCAGTCCAGCTGTACGCGCATGAATTCCTATGTATTCGCGCCATGTATTCATGGATACAGTAACGACAATCACCTTAAAAATATGTATGTCCAATTGTCTAATAACGGAAATAATATCAATTAGCATGATACACACCTAATATAACTCAACAAAATCAATTCTAACATGCCTCATTATCAACCCAATTAATTATAATGAATTTTTAGTTGTATATAACTTTTGTATTTAGTGTGTTTCAATACATTTTTTTATTGTTGCATTCATTAGATTCAATGTTTATATTCAAATGTATTTGTATTAACAGTATTTTGGTTATTCCTAATACATGTTATTAATGATGTATTCAGTATATTTCATTGGTTGTATTAACTGTATTTCTATTTTTATTCAGTGTATTTTACTGTATTTCACTATATTTCAAAATTAAATATATTCACTGTATATATTCTGTTCTATTTTAATATTTATATTCAGTGTATTTCGATGTTTATATCATGTATTCATGCATATTGTATGTATAGTATGCATGAATACAGGTGTATTCTTGTGTATTAAAAAAATACAGACCTTCAAAATACATAAACACGTGCCAAAAAATGTATTTATATAAAAGTACAATGTGTTTGAGTGAATTTGTACATAATACAATATATTTTGTATCATTGTATCGCTTCATTACCTCCTCCATTACAATTTACAACGCGTCCAATTCGACCACTTCTTCCTCTGTTTTCTCTCTTACTTACCGCGCTAAGAATCCCTCTTCTCTTCAATCTCGTTGTCGCCCAAGGTATCTCCTCTTCCTTTTTTTGATTGTAGGTTTAATTTCATGCTTCTGATTCTGAGATTTTTAGGCTTTCTTTCATGATTTCTTTCTCTTTCGTGTATCTATGATTCGGCCTATTTTGCTCGAAGAGAGAGAGAGAGAGAGAGAGAGAGAGAGAGAGAGAGAGAGAGAGAGAGAGAGAGAGAGAGAATATAGAGAGAGAAAGTACTTGAATCTGGTAAAAAGCATAACTGATTCTGTTGGGCCTTCTCCTACTAATAGTTTCTAGAATATTCTCCACTTGATTTCCACCCTTAGATCATAATAGGCTTTGTAATTTGAACCACACATCTTAAGTGACCATGGAAGCTCCTGATGATGCCACGTCACCCTTCTTATTCTTTTATCCCTAACCCTACTTTCCTTATTCATTTTATTTCCCTTAACTCCTCAGCCGACAACCTTAGGTCTTGACAATTCCAGAATGATATTTTAGAATCTCTATTACCAGTGATTGTTCAATCCTTATTTGCTCTCTTTCTCAAGGATCTTCCAAGCTTTTTGTACTCCTTAAGCATGTATATTTTTTATTTCTTATTTTATTGTTAATCTCAGTTATTTTGTTTGCTTTCATTTTTATAATTTTTTTCTATTTTTCGTATTAGTTTGGTTCATTGTTTATCTAATTTTTGGAATCCTATTAATAGTGTAATGCTTTTTTTGTGCGTGTCATTTGGCAAATTACATTGCGAAACTCGCTTCCAAAGTCCAAAACTTGGGCAGAGTCGCACAGACATTCAATTGATCAAGATAAACTATTATATATTTTGCGGACGAATTGGTATATTTTCATTATATTTTATTGTAAGTTGGAAGGGGTGTGATTCCCCAACTATATTATGAATTTGCACGAGTTTGTGATTCGTGATTCTCTTATAGTTGAATGCGAAAGGGGTATGAATGTGTGATTCCCTTATTGAATAATGAATTCTAAAGGGGTATGATTCCCCTTTTCGTGACTTCTTTGTTATAATAAAGATTTATTTGAATTTATAAAATGGATATGGTCTAAGATTGAATAAATGCAAGTATTTGATTTTGTAGGAACAATTTTTCCGAACATCAAAATGGATAGATATTTGATCATGTTAACCATAGCCAACCAAGTTCTAGTCCGTGTCAACCATATGCTAATTCACAAATAGTTCCAGAAGTTCAAAGAGAAGCAATTCCTTCACCTCCTTCAAATGTTAATAGTGTTCTTAGGTTGGGATCTCTTGAAACCGATCCTAAGGAAGTATACTCATTTCTCAGTATAGTCCTAATATTCGAGATGAAGTGAGAAGATATTTTATTCAAAGAGGGCCTTTCAACTGATTGGTCATGACTTCCCTAAAACCAAGTTTGGGAACAAAATGCGTCAATTCAATCTCGATTGGTTTAACGGTTCAGATTCTCAATGGTTGGAGTATAGCATAAAAGCAGATGCTACATTTTGTTTGTGTTGTTAGTTATTCAAGAATGAACTTGAAAGTCGCGGACATGCCGGGGATGATTTTAGGGGTTGGAACAAGGGTTCAGAAAGATATAGAGCTCATGTCGGTGAAGTAAATAGTACACACCATAAATGTTTCAATAGAGTGCAAGATTTGGCGAATCAACGCCAATAAATTCAATCGTCTTTTGACAAACAAAGCGAGAAAGTAAAAAGTGATCATCGAATGCGCTTAAATGCCTCAATTGATGTAGTGAGGTTTCTCTTAAGAAATGGTTTTCCATTTCGTGGTCATGATGAGAGTGAAGATTCCGAATACAAAGGTATTTTTCTTGAACTTTTGAAATTTCATGGAGATAAGCATCCGGATGTGGGAAAAGTGATATTACGTCATGCTCCAAAAAATGATATGATGATTTGTCCAACCATTCAAAAGGAGATAGTGTATGCTTGTGCTAAAGAAACCATTAAAGCTATTATCAAAGATTTAGATGGTGATTATTTTGGAATATCGGTTGATGAATCAAAGGACATCTCACATAAGGAGCAAATGGCCCTAGTTCTACGATATGTTAACAAAAATGGGGAGGTGATAGAGAGATTTTTGGGCATTGTCCATGTGAAATATACATATGCACAATCACTGAAGGATGCAATTTATTCTTTGATTTTGGATGACTCATTAAGTTCATCCAAGATACGTGGACAGGGTTATGATGGAGCAAGTAATGTGCAGGGAAAAATAAATGGCCTAAAGACTTTAATTTTGCAAGATGCTCCATCTGCATATTATATTCACTGTTTTGCGCATCAATTGCAATTGACAACTTTAGCTCTTTCTAAAAAGCATTTGGATGTGAATAATTTCTTTGATGTTGTCACTAATTTGTTGAATACTATTGGAGCATCTTTTAAACTTAGGGAATTACTTCGACAACATCAAGTAGAGAAGTTGCAAGAATTACTTAAAAATGGAGAAGTTTATACCGGGCAGGGATTGAATCAAGAATGTGGCCTCCAACGATCGGGTGATAATCGTTGGGGGTCTCATTTAAGACCTTGGAAAATTTGATGATTATATTTGCTTCAATTGTTAATGTGCTGAAAGATATGCAACATGATAGTCTACTTTCCCTTGATAGATTTGTGGCAAAAAATCTTTTGGATAATATTCAAGAATTTGAATTTGTGTTATGTTGTACTTGATGTTCAAAATGTTGCTTCTTACAACTGAATTGAATAAATATCTACAAAAAAAGATCAAGATATCGTCAATGCTATGAGGTTACTTGACCTTGCAAAGATAAGATTGCAAACAATGAGAGAAAGTGAATTGGAGTCTTTAATGGATGAGGTTTACTCATTTTGTGGTAACCATGGTATTTTAGTTCCCAAAATGGATGAAAGATATCCCAGGTCGAAGCATAAGAGGTCAGATGTTTCATATTCACATCACTTTCGTGTGGAATTATTTTATGCTATTATTGATTTCCAACTTCTGGAGCTCAATTATCGTTTTGATGTAGTGACTAGTGACTTACTCCTTGGTATGGCTAGTTTAAATCCGGTTGATTCATTTGCTAATTTTGACGAAGATAGAATAATGAAGTTAGCCGAGTATTATCCAAGTGAGTTTGTGATAGGGAGCTTCGGGATCTCAGTTACCAGCTTGATAGTTTCATTGTCTATGCTCGAAAGTGTGATACCGCGTTTCTCAATTTGAAAGGAATTAAGGATCTTGCTATAGTGATCGCCAAAACAAAATTGAATCAAACTTGGTGTCTTGTTTATTTACTTGTGAAGCTGACGTTGATTTTACCTGTTGCTACGAAAAGCGTGGAAAGAGCATTCTCCTCAATGAAGCTCATAATCTACATAATAGCATTGGTGATGAATTTTTGAATGGTTGTTTAGTTTGCAATATAGAACGTAAGGTATTTGCAACTGTAAGTAATGATGCTATTATGGATCGCTTTTAAAATATGAAAGCTCGTCGAGTACAAATGTAAATTGATGATGTACTTTTGAGACAATGGAATTGGATAAATTTTGCTAGCCAAGTTGTTGTTTTTGTAAAATTTATATCATAAAACTGAATGTTTATCTTTGAAGCATGTTTGCCTTTGAAGTAATGGTGCACCCATCTTCTCGAATTCCTGGATTCACCTCTGTAGTGGAGCTATTCCCAAACAACTTGAGATCTAAATGAGGACCTTACTTGAGATGCCCTTTTTTTCTTTCAAAGCAAAATAATCACTCCTTTAGCTTATTTAGCTTCTAAAAGATTTGACAAACTTTCAAATCTTGAGAGAAACCAACACTTTCTTTTGTATATAACTATTATGTTAATAACCCTTCAATTAAGAATCAGTTAAAGTAACGTATGATAACAATTTAAATATAGTAAATCGCCGAGTGAGATAATGAATTTATCTTAAGAGTCAAATAAAATACAGCACGATAACAATTTCTTTATTTAAAACTGTTATGTTACTAACAACTCAACGGAATATGAGATAATGACTCCACGCAAGTAAATTCATCTTGACAATCAATTCATCTTGACAATCAATTCACCAAATAACAACGGAGGCACATATTAGCAAATTAAATAAACACACCAAATCACGTAAAATGCATGACTCCGCATGACAAATCACAATCATTCCAACACAGAAGTAACAATAAAAGTCACCCCGAGGTACCACACCTCATAATTAAAATACGCAAGTCACAAATCACAAATCTTCCCAATATATATATATATATTGGGCTAGGCCGTTGGGCAGCATAGGAATACTTAAATAATACCGAAATATCGAAACCTCAATATCAAGCTTTGTATCTTTGTACCCACACAGGTAATAACATATTTACTTTGTCAAGGATTCGAAGATGTAAGTAAAGGATGCGAAGATGTATCTGTTCATCATTATAAATGCCTTTCGACCATAGGGTTCTTTTTATCAAACAAATAATTAAAACAAAAAGAATACTACTACCAACTAGTAATAATTAAATCATATATCTATAATTCAGATAAAGAACATGCATTGACCATGTAATAAAACCCTAACCAAGAATTCTGTGGACTCGAAAGTCCTCAACTACATCTTGGATTTTAAACCTAAACAGAAAAAAATAAAAAAATAACAAGCAGTACTTACTAGGAGTAGTATATTAATTTTCTAACAAAATTGTGCCAATTCTATAGGCAAGAAAAGCTTCCAATGATCCAAATTTAACCTTATCATCTGATAGAAACCAGTTTGGATACGGTTGTCCATTCCACCAGTCCATGATAGCAGGCTTCTTCACATCCCATTCATCACCCAAAACCTTCTTAGCCAATTTCTCCACACTACAATTCTTAGCAATTTCACCAAAAATAGCCTTTTCCCTAGCCTTATCCCTCAAATCAACCCAATTGCTAATCTTTATATTATAATCCCTAGACTTTGTTGTTGACTTGTATGGTTGTTGTGTACATCTTCTCGTCCTCTTCATCTCTTTGTATACTCATCTCCATGGGCAGCTTTCAAAGTTTTGTATATGACTTAGGGTTTAGGGGGGTCCTTTTAATTATATATAGGGATATTAGTAAATAAATAAAAAGGAAATAAATTCCTAAACATATATGGAATCGTATATATGCCCCTTTTTTTTTTCCTTTCAGTAAATTTTTTTTTGACCAAATTGAAATAGGAGTATGTGAATTACAAATCATAAATCTTTAGGAAAGGAAAGAAAACTTGGACACCAAGAAAACTTATATAAATATATACCCCCACTAAATTCATTCAGACGCTCAAAAATTCGGACGGCACTCCTCTATTAGGGTTTCTGCAATATTATTCTTGAGATATAGAAAAGATGTCTTCCATCGGTGAACTTGCTTCCACTTACGCTTGTTTGATCCTTCATGATGATGGAATTCCTATCAATGTAACGCAATCTTTTCCTTTCTCTCATAATTGTTTTTCTTTTTACTTTTGTTTTTCTTCATTGTGCTTCGGATCTTGTTTTCTTAGAAAACAAAAGGAAAAAAAAAAACTCTTTAATTTGTCTAGTAGTTCTCTTGTTTATTGTTGTTCATGTAGGCATAGCTAAAAATAGTGCAATAAAAGAAATTATATGGGCAATGCCAATTAATTGAGAATTGTGATTAAATTTTAGCTATGTTAGAATGCATATTTCAGATTCAATGTTTCTATGGAGATCTTTGGTCCTGTCAGAGATTCATATGCATGCCTAGTGAAGAATAAAGATAGTACTTATTTTATACTCCTTCTTTTCCCGTTTATGTGAACCTATTTCCTTTTTGGTCTGTTTCAAAAAGAATGACCCCTTTCTAAATTTGGAAAACTTATAATTCTACCCTTAATGAGAAGCTTTTATAATTACACAAATACTCTTGACCCCTTTTGACTTGTTTAGGACCACAAATTCCAAAAGTCTTCATTTTTTCTTGAAACTTCGTGAGGTTCACATAAAACGGAGGAGTATTTTATTTTATACTCCCTCCGGTTCACAATAAGTGTCCAATTTGCTTTTAGCACGCCCATTAAGAAAATACTAAATTCTATACAAAAATACCTACTATGACTAAACTACCCCTAATTAAACATTTAATGTGAGAAGTAAGAAAATTTTTTAGGGATATGTACATAGGGGTATTTTGCAAAAACAAACTGAATTCTTTCTTGATTACATAACTGGACACTTATTTTGAACCAAAGTGAAAAAGCAAATTGGACACTTATTGTGAACCGGGGGAGCAACACCTAAAACTTATATAGACAGCCTAACTTGCTTTGAACCGAGACATTGTTGTTGTTCAAAAGTTTGAAGTACTAAACTAGATGTACTTTTTGTATAGGCCGAGAATATTGGTACGCTCATAAAAGCAGCAAATTTGAAGGTGGAATCATACTGGCCGAGCCTTTTTGCAAAACTTTGTCAGAAGATAAACGTGGATGAACTTGTCATGAACATCGGCGTCGGCGGAACTGCGGGTTCTACCGCCACTGTCGCCGCTGCTCCCGCTCCTACTACCGGTAACTACGCCACCGCTGCACCTTCCGCCAATGACAAGAAGAAGGTATACGTTCAATCTTCCACTAATTTTTCATGACCCATTACTAATTCTTTTCTCTAAAGTTATACATGTGTGTTGTTGTTGTAAAGTTATTCATGAATTATTTAAGTTGGCTATTACAATTCGATGTTAACTCCTACTAGAATTACGGAAAAAAGCGATCAAACTTTAGCGACCAAAGTTGGTCTGTCAAGAAAAGCGACCAAAGTTGGTCGCTAAATTGGCGAAAATAATAAAATAAATATTTGAAATACATCTAATTTCGTCAAAATGTTGACCGGACTGGTCAGACTTGCTTGGTCAAAGGTATAATGAGATTAGCTACCAACATTGGTCGCTACAGGGGGACCCACTTATAAAATTTTAATAATTATAATATTATTTTAAAAAAATTATAAAATATAAATAAATATNCCGTGAACTAAAAGATACAAAAGGTTTGGATTGAGGAAAATAAAAGATAAAGACTCAACAATTGCTGTTAAAGTAAATAATCGCAGAATATAATATTGCTTAGAACAATTGTGCTTGATAGCGTACAAGAATTGAGAGAGATGGTACTGTAGTGTAATGGTTTCCGATCCCCTCTTTATGGGGTCTTCTCCCCTTTTATACATTCTGATTAAGGGTAAAAATAAGGTAGGTAAATTAATTACATCGTGGATCCCTGTAATTACGCCTTAATGGCCTGAAGTGGTTGAGAAAATCACGTTTGGGCGAGATATCCGGCGACGCTTGGTTATCCGTTACGAGTCCGGCTTCCGACCTTGTGTGTTTCTCCATCCGGTGGTGACTCATATCGAGCTCTGCAACGGTCTCGAAATGACTCGACCTCGGTTGTTGACGTGGCCGTCGTTCTACCTTGCATCCAGGTCGGGTTCGATGGCCCCGACTTGCCCCGGACCGGACCCAACCCGGTCGGGCTCAAGCAAAAAAGGGTATCACCCAATACAAGTTTACCGGTGGACATGTCTCGAGCAGACATGTGACAGTGATGACAGGATAAAAATGAATCAACAGTTAACTAATACCGCATGCAAACATATGACGGTACTATGTGAATTTCGAGACACAAAGATCGGAGGAGTAAATTTGAAAGCAAGATACTCACGGAAGGAAATAACATTAAAGGGGTAGCTGTTACAGAAAATCTTAGTATTTATTTTTCAATATTATTGAGCCATCAAGAGAGGTTTTATTCATCTTTAAGAGGGCAAGATTTGAGAATCTTATCTCTTCAAATTTAACTATAAATAGCAGCATTTGTATTCCTTGTAGGGACACGATCAAGAAGACTTAGCAAAGTTATCTCTATTTTCTCCCATTTCCATAGTTATATACAAGAAAGCTTCTGTGGAAGCTAAAGCTTCTCTGTTAGCTTGATTTCGGTGGAATTTATGTGAAATACATGCTTGTTCTTCCTCAAAGTAATTATTTCTAATTTTACTAATCAGATCATCTTAATTTACGTATCTATAAACCACATATACAAATTTAACTATACTTTTTATGGGTAAATAAATACCTTGTCTTGAGATAACGAGAAGCGCTTTTGCAACATCGTGAAAATTGCGATCAATATTATATCTTAAATACTTATTTATTTGATTCTTTGAAATGTAGAAAATTTTAACAAAACTTCCATGATTAAAAAAAATGGGTCTCTAACGCTGAATGAATTTTTAACTTCACTAGATCAACTACATTATTTCTTGGAGGGGTAAAGGGAATAAATGAGAATTTCTTGTAGTATCAATAGTATAAAATGAAATTCCTATACCTAATCAATGTAAAGATATTTCCACAGTAGTCCCATTAATGTCATAACTTATAATATTGTGAGATACAAAAAATAAAAACATCATTTTAGAAACATTATTAATGCAATAAAAGTACAACATCAATCCGTTGTAGTCTAGTCGGTTAGGATTCTCGGCTCTCACCCGAGAGACCCGGGTTTGATTGCCAGCAACGGAATATAATTTTTTCTTTCTTTTTGAATTTTTCTCAATTTCAAAGCCTATTCTTGTGAAAATTTAAGTTTTCCCTAAATTTAGATTTTGTTTGGATTTGTGTAGTTGGAAGGAATTCAACCAAATACCTATAGTTATAATATTTTTATCTTTGTTTTAGTTGTTAATAAATTGTGGATAATGGTAATAAAATAGTGTGAGATATTTAATCATTTCTCATGTAAGCAATGATAATCTTATTTCAACTTTTGCATATTTACGATTACGTTTGAATTAAACATTCAGAGAAGCCGAGATAAAAAGTACATTTGCTTGCTACTTTTAAAGATAACATATAATTATCCATAAAAAAAATTAATAATAATAAAAAAGGAAAAATTTAGATTATAAGAAGTTAAAATTAACGTCTTTAGGGTTCCTTTTGCTCTTCTCTTTTTCAAGTGTGGATTGTTTAATAATTAAATGACCAATTAATAGAGGTTTTCTCTACATATATCAATTATCACTTTGAGTTCTATGGGTGTGGGAATGTATTTCACTTTGTAGTTTCGAGAGTGGGTGAAATTCTAGCAAAATTTACGAGTGATAATTGAAAAATAGCTATCGTTGCAAAAGTAATTGAAATTTAGCCATTTTTCATGTAAAGATAAATCATAAAAATATTATTCAAAATTCGAAAAATATTCTGCATAATATACTGGAGTTCCAGCATAATATGCTGGAAGTTCATACACAGGTGCTCCATCTCCAGTATATTATGCTGGAACTTTTCGTGTTGCAGCAAAATAATTGCTATTTTTCAATTACCAGTACGAAAACTGGTTAGCCCGTGCTATTTTCACTTCGGGAGTCGAGATAGTAACTCTGCGAGATTAATGCTATCATTAATATTTAAGCCGAACCAGTGGCGGAGGCAGGATCTCCACGAAGGGGGTTCAAAAAAATTTTTTTTGTAGCTAGTGGGAATTGAACAAATGACCTTATGTAGATTTTGAACCCCCTTGACCACTACACTTTTGGATTGTGTTAAGGGTGTTCAAAACTTAATATATAGAGATAAAAAACAGATTTTGCCTTATATATACAGTGTAATTTTTCGGTGAAGGGTGTTCGGGTGAACACCCTTGCGCCCCCCTAAATCCGCCCCTGAGCCGAACAAATCAAAGTTATTGGACCAAATAAATCGAAGCTGAAACCGAAACCGAAACCGAAATGGAATTAGGTATAGTATATATTAGTATAGAATTACAAAAACCGAATATCGAATACCGAAAATATCAACCCAAATGTCTAATTACCGTACCGTATCGACCGACGAACACCCCTACATATTGTAAGTCAGAGTTCATATTGAAAGGGAGATCTAGAGAGCTTTATTTCTGATAGTGAGCGAGAATTAACGTTAATTTCATGCCTTGGCAGCAACAACGGATGGTCACTCACATTCTACTGCAAACCTCATAGGATAATATTTTGTTATCTCTAGTAAAATCACTCATTTTTTTTTTCGTTTTTTTAATTTCCAATATCAATTCCTTAAAATTTACTTTTTGACAAGAAAGACCAAGATCTTGACTTTAATCATATGATGATACTACTTTTATTTGTCGAAAAATATAATCTTAGATCACTTGTACACACTAACTCAAACAATTGGACTCATTTAATAACCTTCCTAGTTCTAGAACTTTATGCAGTACACAAATATAAACATTATGTTAATTTTCACTTGATTGTGATAGTCAATCTCTTGGTAGAAAAGAAAGTGAAGTCCACCTACTCACTGAGAAAATAACTGGGCACCAAAGGTAATTTTCACATGTGTTTCTGTTCAGTCTTTTCATATAAGTCTGAATCATGAATTAATTATTAATGGGTTAGGGATGTTGTATCTATCCATCCCAAATCATTTGCTAAAGACATTAAAAAAATAAAAAAAATGAATGAATTCCAAGTTATTTCCTAACCACTTTGGACCCTCCTTATAATTGAGAGTTGTTTTACATCATCCCTTTTGACTTTACTGCAATAGTCAACTCTAACCCCCCCTCCCCTCTCCTGCTCCCTCTACTTTTTCTGGTTGACGATAAAAGTCCAAACACTGAAGGGGGCCAGGAACAATATGTTAATTATCATGGAGTCTCTATGCCCTAAAGTCAAACCTTGACGAAAAACCTTAATTATTTTTTTACGAAAAATGGTTCAAAATGCCCCTAAACTATTGAAAAAAGTTTAAAAATACTCTTCATTTACTTATTGGGCTAAAAATATCCCTTCATCCACTTTTTTGGTTCACTTAACCCTTTGACCGTTAGGTCAATGCTAAATTAAAAATAATAATATTTTTTTTTGTAAAACTTAAAAAAAATATTTTATAAAATATTTTCGTTTTTTTAAACTAATGCACCAATAGTCTATTAATTTAGTAAAGTCTTTTTATTTATTTTTTTCCAGTTTTTACAAAATATATAATTTTTCATTTTTTCAGTTTTTTTAAAACATTCTTTTTGTAAAAACTGAAGTTTTCTATTTCTAGTTTATTATTGTATATCCTGTCTAGGAAAACCAAAAATAGCAAGGCAAAATAGTAAAGTACAAAAAATGGAAAAAAAAGTTTGTGAAAGTTAAAACTCCAAGCAATTTATACCATACACTATACCTGCATATGAAAGAGGAGCTTTTACGTGAACATTTCTAACAGTGATTTCTCCTCCAACAGTCAAGTAACTAGCACTGGTTATTTCGGCTACTATTATTTTAAAACTTTGGAATATCTTGGAAAAAAGAGTCTTCAAGGAGAATGTCAGGCCATGTAGAAGGTGGAGCACCTTCATTGCTGAGTGATCGCTCGCTATCTGGTTGAAAAAGATAGTCCGGAAGCTTCCTCTCTACCGGTAAGCAAGATGAGATCACCACTTCTGATGAATTTTCTTTTCTTGTCAAATCATTTGTTAGCGAAGGATGAGGAGGAGAAGAAGATAAAGAGGAACGAAGCCATGGAGAAGTAGGCGACGATGTTTCTCCATGGCTCAGAACTTTAATAAAGTCAATGTTTTGAGGTCGAACCTTATCTTTGTTTAATGAATTTTGGATACTACAAGAGGTTTGTAATTCAGGCAAACGTGAAAAAGGGATTAAATCTTGAATAGCTTGAAGACTTGAATTAGGTGAGGAAATTAAGTGATTTTCCAAATGGTTGTTAGTGCCTAAGAATTGGTTATCTTTCAATGAAGAAATTGAATTTAAAAGATTATAAGTTTCAATATCTTGGATAGAAGTACTGAAACTGATGTCGTGAGGCTGTAGGAGATTTTGCACGTACTGATGTTCCATCAACTCCTTCAAATTTGCCAAAGCTATAAGATGTTGTAAGCTGTTAAAAATATCTGTTCGAGGTCTGTGAGTCATTGGATCGTACCCCATCTGAATTAGCTTCTTCTTCAAATGTGTGTTCCAGAAAATCTTGATTTCGTTATCAGTTTGCCCCGGTAGATGAGTTGCAATTGCAGACCACCTTGAACAAGATAAAAAGAAAGAGTTTAACTTCTATACTCTAACGTAAAAGAAACTTTACAATATTAAGTCACCTAAGAAATTCTTTATATATAGATAATCGTATATAAAAAGATAGAATAGTAACTTGAAAAATAAGACATGAAATATTATCTGCTACAATAGGTTATAATATTCATTAACAAAATATTCAAATTTTCGAGCCATAGCCAAATTTATTGAAGAAAGTGAAATAATTACTTGCTGCCAAGCACATCATGGAGATTCACTACTAGAATTCCAGCAAAAAGCGACCAAACTTTAGCGACCAAAGTTGGTCTGTCAAGAAAAGCGACCAAGGTTGGTCGCTAAACTGGTGAAAATAATAAAATAATGATATTAAATAAATTAGCGACCAACATTGGTCGCGACTTGGTCGAAAATTTTGTCAAACTGTTGACCGGACTGGTCAAACTTGCTTGGTCAAAGAATTACTCAGATTAGCGACTCGCTCCACGGGACCCACTTATTAAATTTTAATAATTATAATATTATTTTAAAAAAATTATAAAATATAAATAAATATAATTTAAAATTAGCGACCAAAGTTGGTCGCTAATTAAATGGTAAGCAGATAGCGACCAACTTTGGTTGCTAAAATGGGACCCAGTAATAAAATTTTAATAATTATATTTTTATTTAAAAAAAATTATAGAATATAAATAAATATAATTCAAATTAGCGACCAACTTTGGTCGCTTACTGAAATAGAGACCAACTTTGGTCGCTAATCAGGGACCCAGTTCTAACGTTTAACAATTATATTATTATTTTAAATATTATATAAAATATACATAAACCTGATTTAAATTTAGCGACCAACTTTGGTCGCTTTTCTTGACAGACCAACTGTATATTCTATAATTTTGTACATATATATGTATATATATATATATGTATATATATGTATATTATATAAAATATACATAGCTTATATACTATATACTATATTATACTATATATATAGCGACCAATTTTGGTCGCTTATTTTTAAAAAATATTAAAAAATTAATAAAAAAGCGACCAACCTTGGTCTCTATTTTCCAGATTTTAAAATATAATATTTGGATTAGAGACCAAAGTTGGTCTCTTTTTATGATTAATAATAAATAAATAAAAACGTATTTTACATTTAGAGACCAACTTGGTCGCCAAAATTATATTATTAAAATAATACACAGACCAAAGTTGGTCGCTATAGTCTTTACTCGGAATATTTGGTCCTTTTACCTTAGAGACCAAAGTTGGTCGCTAATTAGCGACCAACTTTGGTCCCTAAAATAAAGGGACCAGCAATATAGCGACCAGGCATGTTTGGTCGCTTTTAGGCCTATAAGCGACCAACTTTGGTCGCTTTTTGTGATCGCTTTTTTCCGGAATTTTAGTAGTGATGTTGCGATATGTGCATGTTTTGAAACCCTGACATTAAATACTAGTATGTGCATGTTCATAGTATTTTATTTCCAGTTCCTCTAACTAGCTAGTGTGAAAAAACTATGAGTCAACTGATCAAATTCCCTCAAATATTTAGAAAGGATTCTTTTTTCTAAAGCATATAGTATTACTACTATTTTCCCTCCACCCTCCCCTTTTTATTAACTAAGCCGCAAAAGCTCATTACTGTTTTCTCTTTTTGGTTTTTCTCTCATTGCAGGAAGAAGTAAAAGAAGAGAGTGATGATGAGCTGATGTTTAGCTTGTTTGATTAGAGGTTGCAGAATGCAGCGATCCTCAGCTTGTTGAAGAATTTAAAATTTTGGCTCTTTAGCATATAGAAAACTGTTGCAGGATAATTTTAAGTTTTTAATATTCGGACTACTTTATTATTATTGAGACTGGCTATTCTGTACGCTGCCAGAACTTTTATACATGTTTCATCTACATTTTAAACCGGAAGTATTGCAATAATATAACGTCTAGTGGCCGTTACAAATATAATTCGGTTTACAAGTCCAGGAATGGAATCCCACATGGAATTAACCTTTACAATCACTAGTTTCACAAGAATTCAAATAATCAACCTCCAAAAATATTAAATAATGAGTTGAGTGTTTACTAACTAAGAGCGAAGTAATTAAAATCCTGTAATTTATAAGTAACAGAGCAAATGTTGTAGACAACATTGGAATTTAGGGTTATCAATTCCCCAATCTTCGGAATTCTCTCCACTATGTTTTCTATAAATTTGCCTAAGTATTATCTACCGGCCGTGAGTACTTTGGGTGTCGTAATTCTCTTCCGAGCAACTACCACAATTTGCTAGATGTATTCTTTCGAACTACGCCAGCTAGCAATAGTTCACCGCTCTCTAGGGTCGCACCAAGGTTTCGTTATTTCTAATCTCACCTTTAATTCCTCCGTATTGATTCTAAATATTGTTCAACAACTACCTAAATGTGTACCCTTTTCCAAGCAATACACATTAAATAGCCATAGTCAATTGAGAGCTCTTCAATCAACAACAATGAAACGTAGTTGAGCAAGTAACGAAAAGTCAATGGCAAATAACGCAATGAAAAATTATCCTCCAATAGGTTCCGTCAAACCCTAAATGAGAGAGTTAGCTACTCATAATTGTATAAAAGATCATAATAATATTCAAAAGCATTAGATTATAGATTAAGGAAGAACAGAGAGAAAAACTCTTGTGATTCGTTGCTTCCAAGTGTTTCTGTAGCCTTTTGCCTCTCCAATAATGCCCCCCTCCTCCCCCTAAAAAATAAGTTTAGAACCCCATTTATACATATTGGGGGCGTGTAGAGTGGAAACTACCAAGTCGTAGCCCAAATAGAAAAAGTTGGGCGCGTAACTCTGTGTAGTGTTGTCTTCTGCGTTTTGAATTGTGCTTGGCTCAAACGTGGACACCAAAAAACCATACTCCTCTAAATTCTTCTATTTAGATTCAATTTATGTACAATCCTTCCATATCACATCCGATTGACCCCTCCACATGAAAATATCATTTTTAAGCTCGAGTCACAGATATTCGTACTAAATTTAACAAGATCGAGGTATAATGCAAGGCAATTTACATGCGAAAATATGTATTTTTAGCCAAATATTACCACCCCCCCCCCCCCACTTAAGATCTTGTTCATCCCCAAGAAACCTAGCACTTTTCTAACCCAATAACACCACACAAGATATCATACAACGGAGGAATATTTAGCAATTCAACACACTACACTTATGACCATGGTGGATACCAACAATTAAGGCATTGCATACGCATTCATGCACTTCTCTACTTTCACATTCCAAAACATGAACAATTCAAAATACTCAAACAACCTGCCCATAACCATCCAACCTCAAAGGCCGAATAGTTGCCAATAAGCATTCTCAATTCGTGCACTCACCCAACAAAAACAATTCAATAACATCACCTATCCGTCATGGAATCATGTGCGCTCACCAAAGAACAAGGGAATATGTAGTCCACATATTCAAATCAAGAGTTCTAAATGTAATTCAAGGACATCATGAACAAAAATGAATCACTCACTCTCACAAGAAAATTCATGTGAATCCCGCGGTCGTATCATATGCTTGCCTGTAGTGTATGTCACTACTAATCGAAGCTTGCGAAGTGCAAGATCAATTAGGTCTTTACGTGTTGTAATGTAGGCTAAGAGACGGGTAAGATATATTTTGGTCATAGTGACTAATCCTCATAAGTACTTTAATACACTACACTTCATTTTCAAATACATACGCTTCATGTCCAATTCAAGCAATGTCATGAGACCATATACAATTTGGCCCTTATTCTTTAAGCACAACTATACATTTACTAGCCCGGATTGAGAGGAATAGGAGGTGCATTTTCTATATTTGTTTCTTCTCTTTTTGTATTTTCTTTGCTTTTTTTTTTGTTCCAATACTCTCCAAATTTAGGGTGCCCCCCTAATGATCTTTTTCTAAACATATGCGCACCTTTTGTCCTTTCTATGGCTCCATTCAAAAACTACCCCAACTCTCAGCTTACTTTTCAAGCGACTTAAGTGCTTTTGGTGGCAAAGGTTCGAAAAGGTTTAATTAAGAACAAAATGGGATTCGGCTTGTAATGTGGGTACCAAAGCAAAGGTTTGTAGGCTCAAATGGGCTATCTGAGAATTTTTTTTATTTATAGTGGCATACTAGTTCGATGGACAATCAATGAAATGCCTACATCATCTTCTAGACTCTCAAGACTTAATTATTTCGCTTCGATTAACACACTGGGCAAGTTCTAGACTAACACATGATAGCACATAATGTAATCATGATCTCACGTCATGTAATGCACATGAACCCAGTCGGGACGGTTCACATATAATTCTCAAGTTTAAGCAAGTAATCACAAATTCACGAAGTATTAAGCAATAAAGCACTACATGAATAAAGAGTCAAGAAACTGAGAGAAGGCATCATAGTGTCACGACCCGGATTTCTCACCCTCGGGAGTCGTGATGGCGCCTACTGATGAGAGATAGGCAGGCCAACCCTTAACTACCTTTAGCATTAACCAATTTACTACCTTTAACAATTATCAGTAATATCATGAAAACAGCGAAATAAAGTAAATAAGCGGAAGTCTTAGATTAAAGAAACTGAACAACAATGCGGAAATTCAACATAAATCTCTACCCACGAACTGGTGTCACATACTCACGAACTACTAAGAGTGCTAAATACAACCGTTTGAAAGAAAATATAACTGTTTGACTCGAAATACATGAGATAACAAACTAAAATAAAAGATAGAAGAGACGCCGGGCCTGCGGATGCCTGCAAGGCTACCTCGGTGTCTCGTGGACTGAAGGTCGGCTCCCTGACTACTGCTGCGCACCGTAAGCTGCTCCGACACCTGGATATGTGCAAAAGAGCACAGAGTATAGCATCAGCACAACCGATCCCATGTGCTGGTAAGTGTCTGGCCTAACCCCGGCGAGGTAGTGACGAGGCTAGTACCAGACTACCACATAAACCTGTGCAGTTATATATATACATATACAGCGGAATCAAAATACAGAGACAAGAAATTAATATGGGAAGGGGGAGCATGCTATGGGGAAAATATCAATTTCAGGTAAAAGTCGTCCAGTAACGAAGAAAAATAACACAACTTAGACATTAATAAAGAAACAGAAAGCAACAAGTGCACGACATAACCCTTCGTGCTTTTACTCTCATCCTCACCAAGCAATGATATAATAAAGTGTGCACGGCATCACCCTTCGTGCTTTTACTCTCTTTCCTCACATATAATCGATAGAATCGGTACGGAATGGTACATCGTGCGGCACGGCATCACCCTTCATTCTTTACTCTCTTTCCTCACCATAAGCAAACAATGCACGGCATCACCCTTCGTGCTTTAACATTCTTCCTCACCCAAACAACAATCACAAACAAGGGGCAAGGGGATAAACAAAATAATAAAAGAAATCCCGGCAAGGGCACACAATTGAAAAATTAAATCCCGGCAAGGGTACAACATCAATAATCTCAACATCCCGGCAAGGGAACAATTTAAATACTCTTTCTCTTCCTTTCACTTTTATTTCATATCTCACTTTACCACTTGAGCCAATGCTCCAAAGGGGTTCAACCATTTCATATACGTTCACAATTGAAATATAACTTGAGCCAATGCTCCTCGTTGTTCATAGGTCAAAATTTCCTTTCACACGCTTTTCACAACAATTAGGAATCATCACCAAGGCAAGAGAAATACAAAGAAATCAAGATATTCACAATTTAACGACTCACAGTCATGATAGACACCAACGTATAGATACTCATCACCATGCCTATAAGTCGAACTCAACAAGAAGCAATTAACAAATAAGACTCAACTTCTAGTCCCTCAAGTTAGGGTTAGACCAAACACTTACCTCAATGCCTTGCACACAACTTAAGCCTCAAGTATAGCTTTACCCCTCGATTCCACCATCAATCCATTCGAATCTAGTCACAAGTTACTTAATTACATCAATAAACGCTAAATGAATCAATTTGAATGCATAAAATGAATTTCCTAAAGTTTTGCCCAAAAATTCCAAAATCGCCCCCGGGCCCACGTTGTCAAAACCCGAGGTTCGAACCAAAACCCGGCTACCCATTCCCCCACGAACCTAAATATATGATTTGTTTTGGAATCGGACCTCAAATTGAAGTCCAAATTCTCAATTTTTAGAAAAACCTAGGTTCTACCCAAAACCCCCAATTTCTCCCATGAAAATCTTTGATTTTAAGTTGAAACATGTTATGATGTTAATGATTGAAAGAAATGAGTAAAAATCAACTTACAATTGATTTGGAAGAAAACTTGTTCTTGAAAAATTGCCCAAAGGAGTTGTGTTTTGAAAATGGGGTGAAAAATGTCTTAAAATCGACTAAGTATGAAAAATGCAGGTTGCAGATGTGGGAAATGCGAACATAGGTTCGCAATTGCGAACCCCCACCTGTTATGGGAATTGCGAAGTTTGGTTCGCATTTGCGAACAGTGGACAGAAATGAAGGCATCGCATTTGCGACAAAGATGTCGCATTTGCGAAACACCAGCTCCCGCATTTGCGAGCCACTATGTCGCATTTGCGACTGGCTCAGCATCGCATTTGCGAACCAGATGTCGCATTTGCGACCCAACTACAGGATCTCCTATCTCGCATTTGCGATCACAAAGGTTAAAAATGCACTCACGACCTATCCAAAATTCACCCGAGCCCTCGGGGCTCCAAACCAAACATACACACAACCTCAAAAACATCCTACGGACTTATTCGTGCGATCGAATCGCTAATATAACATTATAAACATCAAATTAAGCCTCAAAATCCATGATTTCTTCCAAGTTTCACAAAACATCAAATTTCCCAGAAATTTATTCATTTTAATA